TTTTTTTTAATTTTGTTAAAGAAATTTTCTGATATGTTTCTGATTTCACAAATTGAGGTTCTAGTTTTCAGGGAGAAAGAGCAGAATATTGCCAGTTTCAGTTGAAAATCTTAGGTCACCTTCACTATAAAGAACAGTGCAACACAGCCTTAATTTGCAAAATAAAGATCGAAACTTTTAAGACCGTTTTTTCTTTTGTCGTTTCGCACCAAACGTTTGGAAGTCTTTCAAGACTCCTGACATTTTTATATGCATATATATGAAAATAATTTGGTAAAACGAAAACCGAAAAGCAGAAGATAGAAGATCTTTTATAATTCAAAGAAATTTCTGTCACAACAACAGTTTTTAGTTTTGACTTACTTCAGGGCGATGGTGATACCAAAACAAACAACTACTGTCACTGGTCAGGTAACATTTTCTATAAGCAGATTGATAACCACTCCGTCCCAAAAAACCAACAAAACAGTGGGGCTCATAAGCGTAATATAGCACCAAGGCGATAACTTGAATAACTTAATGTGTCCTTTATCCTCTTAAGAGAAAGTTAAACTTATACACTGAACCGAAAGAGAACCGCAACAGCTGTCCAATTATCTGCCCGCTCCTGCTAAAAAAGTAGATCTTACCTTCCATCTTCTGTTTCTTTTCTTCCAGAGGAAGTGGGTTCATTAACGTGTCCAACGTTTCTTTGATGTCTGCAATTTTCGTTTTCATCTGCTCAAGGTTGTCTCTGCTGTTTCCTAAGAATAAACATTTAGTCTTTTTAAACCTTAATTCACACTTTAAAGTAACCAGCAACATATTCCTGGGTGTCTTTTTTTATTCAAAGACTGGTTTGTATAGTTACAATACGCGTTCCAAATATCATAATCTAAAATATAATTTGCGACAACTACTGTTTTATTTAAACTTTAATAAATACCACGCCATGAAATGACGATATGACTCAAATAGAAGTGACACAGGAAACAACGGACAAGTGTTGAGTTGTCACTTTCTTTTTCCTATTTCCTAGTTTTTTTAATGGTGCGGTGATGGAGCAGAGTTAGCGAAAAATTAAGACGGACGTTGATTTCGATAATAGTTAATTTCTTTCCGTACGTTAGATGAAAGGCATCAATCACCCAGCAAATGATAGAACCTGGTATATATGGGTACGAATATCAGTTTTTCATCTTGAGTAGATATAAGTGTTATAATTTCATTTTTCTTTCATAATTTCCAACAAAAGAGCTCCGTGCAGATCTACACAGTATCAACTTGTTTCACTTTTTCGAGGGGTTCAATAAAATCGCCATAAAAAATCTATACCTTCTTCCCCTGATGTCACTTGACTTTTTAGCTTTTCACTGATGGTTCGTATGTCCCTTGCCATTTCCTTGAAATCATCTCTCGTATTGTCTGAGAATAAAGCGTTGTACATTAGCTTGAGTTGAAATACAATCAAGTCAATCCAGGATGTCTTCTGTCGGTAACGGTAGTTTAACGGTAAATTGTTGTATAGCGGTCTCGGTACACTGTAATGCCAGTTGAAGTGGAATACTGGTGAACAGTGATTTCACNAATCCAGGATGTCTTCTGTCGGTAACGGTAGTTTAACGGTAAATTGTTGTATAGCGGTCTCGGTACACTGTAATGCCAGTTGAAGTGGAATACTGGTGAACAGTGATTTCACATCAAAAGTTACAAGTTTGTAGTCACCAGGTATCTGTACTGTCTTAATAGCGTCAATTAAGTTCTTCGTAGATTGTAGTTTGCGTCTTGATTTGTCAGTGAGGGGTTACCGGCGGTATGGTCGTCAAGTACTTAGACAGCTGATACGTAGGGGACCCACATAATGCCACTATAGGTCGCGTAAGTATACCAAGGTTTGTGCAGTTTCCCTAGTCCGTAAAGTTTCGGTGGTTGGGGTACTGAGCACCTCAGTCGATAGTAGCGTCGAGTGTCAATAGCGTCAGTCTTTTTAAGCGTAAGTATTTTGCTGTTAAGTTTACGTTGAAGTGCTGGCGTCGGGTCGCGTTTAAGTTCTGCGTAAGTTTGTTTGTCGTTGACAAGTGTTTAATTTTTATTTTTAGTTTTTATTACCATTTTAATGTTTCAGAGCTGGCGTGATGCCCTCTAGATGTTGCCGACGAAAAAATATTTAGATTTAAATTTAGAAGCGCGTTCATTTTGTCAAAGTAGTCAGCCTTCGCCATAACAACAGTGACATGTCCTTCGTCGGCTGGTAGTATAACAATGTTGGTGTCGTTTTTCATTCATTTCAGAGCTTGTTCTTCGTCTTTTGTCAAGTTATTGTCAGGTATAGAGGCTGATTGTACCGTGGAAGCAATTCTGCTCCTGAGTCATGTTTTACCAAGAAAATCAGAATAGAGCTAGTACAGCACGATCTTGTCTTCATGTCACGAAAGATCACGAAACATGTAAACAAAGCGAGTAAGAGAGAGTCCACCAAAACGAGTGCTGGTGGAGTGAGTCAGCCCTGATAATCTTTCAGAGCAGACAAATTCCTTCATAAGCCCATGAAATACCTTCATCTACACAGCATCGCAATATAACAATTATAAGACTCGCTCAAGGTTGAGTTTAAGCCAAATTATTTCCTTGTTCATTTTCGTCAGAAATGTGTCTCTTGCTAGCCTGTATCACAGCCTCCCTCTCCGAAAGAGAGAGGGCGGCTGTGATACAGGCTAGTCTTTCGCTGGATAAGCTGTTCTTTTACTGTGCAAAACCTGCATCGGTTTTTATTCAGAACTGACCTTCAGCGTCGGTCTCTCTTTGTGCTACCACAGTGTTTAACTTCTCACTCCTGTTCGCTATCTCACTTTTCATCTGTTGAAGTTTGTCTGAAAATTAACATCAGCTTTCGCTATCATTGCCATTTAAGTTATGTCAAAATATAGATAAAAAAATATCGACGTTAGAAATTATCAAATTTCTGCCAGTTTGAACATGCAATAATTACCAGCATTAGTTGCTAAACTGTCATCCCGTCGCTTTTTCCGTTTGTTTATTAATGTATTAGTTGCTGTTCACTGCTTAAGTTACAGGAGAACCTTTTTTTCTTGCCGTGCCAAGTGATAGAATCTCTCTACCTCCAAATATCTCAATTGACGTTTACTGACCTTCATCTAGGAATGATTCCAACTTTTTCACTAGATTTCTCATTTGTTTGAGTGTGTCTTTGAGGTTTTCTGCGGTGGAACAAGAGTCAGTTTTAGTTTCAAACTTACAGAGGGGGGTGAATAGGGGTATGCAAATCCGCCGATCCGTGCATTTTTTTCACCAAATCCGTCGATCCGCCAATATTTTTGTTCGAATCCGACACCGCAACCACATCCGGAAACAGAGGTGTAAAAGTTCAAAGCAGGAGGTAGAAAGGTAAACTGGTAAACTGGTAAACAAAAGTAAACTGGTAAATTTGAATGCCATTGTTAATTTCGTACAAATGGTAAAGAAGGCAACGTGTTTGATGACTATAACACAGCACCATTCCAATAACAGTCTCACACCTGAGTTTAAATGAGCTTTGTTCGAAAAAAGAAATAATTTGGATGAACT